TTTTTGTTGTTTGGTTGTCTTTTTTATCTTTTTTTCTTTCCTTCTCCGCACCCAACGGGGTTGCGGGTGCGGTGGAGGCGAGGCGGCGGACAACGCCCGCGCGACGTCCCCCAGGCAACCGCGACCTCCACGCGCATTGCCGCCGCCCCACCCCCGAAGGAAAAGAAAAAGAAAAATGAATAAATAAACTAAAAATGAAAAATAATTATCCGCACGGCTCCGCGCAGGCGCCCCCCTCCCGCTCCTCCTCCCCCAAGCGCGGCGGCGCCACCCCGCCTAGACACGGCTGTAGAGGCGGAACTTGCTGCTGCACGAGACCAGCTTGATCTGCTTCTCCTTGCAGAGGTGCTGCAGGCCCTTGGCGGCGAGGGCGACGGAGATCTTCAGGCGGTCGCTGATGATGGACGGCGTGATCACCTTGTACTTGGGAACCTCGTTGACGAGCTTGTCCATCGTCTCCTTGTCGAAGACGACGGCGTTCTGCAGCGCCTCACGCGTGCGCCCCTTCGACCACTTCTTCGTGGCCTTCTTGGCGCCCTTGTTCATGTTCTGCAGCTTGCCCTTCTTGGGCGCCTGCTTGTTGTCCTTCGCTCCCTTCTTCGGCGGCATCCTGCGACGGCTGGCTTTTTTCCTGCTGTTGTCGGCGACTCACAACGCAAAGCGCGCGGAACTGCGGGGACGCAAACGGAAAGGAGAAGGGAAGAGAAAAGAACACAGAAAAAAAAACGGGAGATGCTCGCCGGCACCCAGAAAGAGAGAGAGAGAGGCGCACGCACGCACGCACGGGAAGAAGAGACGCGCGCCACGGAGAGTTTCTCTCCGCCCCCCTTTTTTCACGGTTGTGGCCTCCGCCATTCCTTTCGTTACCTCCGCGCTCCCACTTATCTGCCGCCTCCCCTCCTCCACTCCTCGGCCCCGCGCCAGCAGCAACGGCGACGCCGGCGGAAACGCACGCACACACACGCAAGTGTCGTGCCAACATACCCCGGGTTAAACGACTTTATTTGACCTCTGTTTATATGTATGTATGTATTTCTGTTTCTTTCCTCCTTTCTTTTCGTTTCTCTTCCTTTTTTTTGTTGTTGTTGCTTTTCCTTTTTTCTTTTTCTTGTTACTCGCTGCGAGCACCTCACATCTGCCACCGCATTGTGCCCCGCCTTAAGCCCACAACCACGCGCGCCCAGCGGGAAAAATAGAAACGGAGACGAGAGAACACACAACCGACGCATCTTTGCTCCTCCGCCCGCCTGCCTACAGTTGCGCGTGCGTGCGTGCGTGCGTGCGTGCGTGCGTGCCGCGGGGGCCTAGTTGCCGAAGCGCCGCACCTTCCAGCACATTGGGAGGGCCTCCAGCGTCCCCTCGAGGTTGCGCACCAGCACCAGCACCCGCGCGTCTCCCTTCAGGACGAAGGCGGCCTCCACCGTGCAGCGCTGCTGCATGTGCCACGAGCTCTCCGTCACGTACAGCAGGCCGCGGGAAAAGCAGGCGAGAAACCGAACGGCGCCGCGCGTTGCACCTGCCAGACCACCGGCTAGCGGTGGAAGCCGGGCAATAAACCTCACATCGTGCGGCAGCGTGGGGGGCAGCAGAGACGGTGCTGCGGTTTCAATGCCCGCCACGTACCGCGCGTTGTCTGTGAGGGCCACACACGTTGGCGAGGCGTGGTGCTGCAGCGCCGGCACCGAGGCCGCCATGCGCGTGGACTCCCGGCTCCAAACAAAACTACTGGGGTCGGGGGTGCCATCCGGCGCGGTGCCGCAGGTGAGACGACCCCGCCTACCGCACACGATGAGGCTGCTACGCTCCTGCGCCGCGCCAACCAAGAGGCGCGTCGGGCGGATGCCGCAAACCGGCTCGGCGTCGGATGTCTGCATCGCCGTCGCCACGACGGGGTACCCCTCCGCCAGGGTGATGTGCACAAGCGTGTCGTCTAGTAGCATGTAGCAGCTCGCGGCGGTTGCAGCGGCTCCGCCGTCGCCGTCCCCGGCGCCGTGCTGCACGAAGCAGCAGTCCAGCACTCCGCGTCCGACAGGCAGCGCGACCACCTCCTCAATGCGGCGCAGCGAGAGGGCGTCCTCCGCCCCATCCCGCCAACGCACACGCAGCAGCGCCGCCCGCTCATCCGTGGCGAAGAGCATGTACCGCAGCTGCTCGTCACACCAGAGCCCCTGAATGTGAAATTTGCCGTGGACCTTGTACGCGAAGAGCGGCGTCCAGTGACGCAGCCCCGCGTCGGTGCGAAAAGCCTCAATACGCCCATGCCGCGTCTGCAGAAGGACGTTCTTTGCCTTGGCAAAGGCAAACTGCTGCGTCGTCACGGGGAGGTACATGGCGGGTGAGGTAAAGACGGAGTCAACCGGGGCGTACATGACGGTGCCATCCCGCGCGGCCGAGAGGATGAGTTGCTGCTGCTGCAGCACGAGCAGCTCACTCGCCTCGTGGTAGTGGGTGCGCCGCTTGACCTCCGCCGGAAACCACTCGCCGTCGGCGCCGGCACGGTAGGAGCGCAGGGACTCGTGCCAGCCGGAGGCGTACAACACCGCCCCGCTGCTCACCAGCGTGCTGACGGGCCCCTTGTGGTGTGTGAAGGTTTTCAACACGTGCCCGTGCTGCGCGTCGAAGAGGACGATGTCTCCCATCGACGTCCCAACCGCCACCACCGGGGCCGCGCCGCCACCTGCGCCGCTGCCGACGGCGCAACAGAGCCCCATGCCTTTCGGCAGTCGGCCGGTCCAGAGTGCCTCATGATCGCTGAGGCTCATTGGCCGGGCCCCAGACGAGTTGCTAGCTGCGCCCTCCTTCCCCGCTCGGGGGCCCGCCGCAGTGGCGGTGGTGCCGCGCTCTTCCTGGGCTTCCTCGCGCGGCAGCCGCCATGCCACGACGTTCCCCGCGTCGTCGGTGCCTGCGGCGATGCTCCACTGCTCCGAGCCGCAGACGCTCAAGGCGCGATCGGCGCCTGGCACCTTCGGAATGATGCGCCGCAGCGTCAGGGCAGGCGCGGCCCTCCCCGCCTCTTCTACCCGCAGCTGCTGCCAGGAGCCGTCCGCCATGGCGGCGTAGATGTGCGCCCCGACAAGGCAGAAGTCCCAGATGGCTCCGCCCGTGCGCTGGTGCACGTGCAGCGGGGAGAGCGTCTCTCCGCAGTACACCACCAGTTGGCCGGAAAGGTACGAGGCGAGAAACAGCGCGCGGCCGCATGGCAAGTAACGGACACGTGTGATGGTGCGATTCGCGCGGCCGCCGGTGTGGCGGATGCGTTCAAAGTGTGGCACGTTTTGAAAACTATCGATGCCGTACAGAACAATGGAGCCGTTCTCGCGCACCACAATCAGCTCCTTCTCGCCTGGACGGACAGCCATGCAACGGACGCCGACGACGTCGGGCGCAATCACCGTGGAGCGCAGCACGAGACCCTCAAGGTCAGAGGGAAGTTTCTGCCGCAGCTCTGCAGTGCCGCGCGCCTTCACGTTCTTCTCGCCGCGCGTCGTGCCGGCGGACGCCGCGGGCCGAGACGATGCTGAGCCACGGCCATAGCTGCTCCCCGTGGTGGCGGTGGCCACGTGCCCCGCGTCTGACTCCTGCGCCGCCGGCGCCTTCGCCGTTGGGCCGCTGCGCGGGCGCTTCTTCGGCGACATGGTGACCGCGCGCGTGTGTGTGTGTGGTGGGTGGGAGGTGCTCTCGCCTTCGCTCGAGGTGCTGCGGCAGAAGGGGGGTTGCGGAGGGGAGGGGGTCGGGGCGAAAAGGGCACACAACACTGGCGTGGAGAGAGGACGGGGCAAGGCAGGCGCAGGCAGCAAAAGAAAAAAAAAAAGAGAGAGAGGGCGCGCGCACCCAACAAAAGAAAAATGTCAACTTAACGGGTTCTTCGGGAAGTCGGCGTAAGAAAACAGCCCCGGGGGTTTGCCGTCGGACGCGGCGTCGGCGGGGGTGCCGCTGCGGCTACGACGCCCTCAGCCGCGCCAGCAGCTCGCGGGGGAAGAGGGCAACGTACGTGTGGCGCCTCGTGTTCCACGCCACGTCCGTGACCCCGCCGCCCCCGGCCTCGCCCCGCGCGGGGGCGGCATGCAGCGCGGCGAACTCCTCCAGCGCCGCCCGGTACGGCCTCATCGAGAGCACCGCACACCGCATCGCTGCGGCGTCCTCGCAGGCCGCCATCCGTGACGGCGCCGCCGCCGTCGGGGTCACGGCGAGGCGGAAGCACCACGCGGCGTGCGCCGGAAGGTCCCCCTCGCGAGACATGCGCTGCCGCAGATGCTGCCGCAGCCCTTCCACGCCGCGCTTCACAACCGCCTCCACACGCCGCATCTCCGCCTCCAAGGCGGCCTCCGCGTCGACGTCGTGGCCGCTGCCGAGGACGGCGTAGCGTGAAAAGTCCATCTCGTGTTTTTGCAGGAATGAGAAGCATGTCATGAGGCGCAGCGAACCGTGGCGCTGCACGACCCCGCGCACCCGCTCGCCCCCCTCTTCCAAAAGCACATCCACCTCCACGCCGGCGGTGGGCAGAAAAATCCAGGGGCGCACGCAAAGCTCCAGCGCTGCCGCGTCGCCCCCTCCCGCCTCCTCCGCTTCGCCCTCGTGCCCTGCGGCAGTCTTCAGTTGGCACCGCAGTGCCTCCCGCACCTTTGGGCTCTGCGCAAGTGCACGAAGGGCGGCGGCGGGGGTGTCAAAGCAGTTCATTTGATTCAAGTGGTACAGTAACTTTTGGCAAAAGATGTCGCGCTCGAGTGGCGTGGGGGCGCCATTGGCCGGGAAAGGGACACGTCGCCGCAGCTGCGGCAGACCCTCCGCCTCGTCGTGCAAGCTCCAGTCCCACGGCGCCCCGCCGGGAAAGCCGAACTTCACAAAGTACGGCCCCGCATGTCCGGCGCAGGCGGCCTCCACCCGCGAGAGCACGGCCGCGGGCGGAGGCACACCAGTCGCGCCACCCACAAGGGCCTCGGCCTCGTCGCGGGTGAGGGGCACGTGCAGCGAGAATTCCATCCCCATCCCCGGTGGAACGACGTTCTCCTCGGCGCAGCGTGTGCTGCATGTGATGCGGTCTACCAACGCCCTCTCCTCCGGCGCCATCTGACTCAGTGCCTCCTCCACGCGGGCCCGCTTAAGCACCGTCTTCTGGTAGGCGCGTCTGTGAATGCGGTAGCAGGCGGTGCCAAAGGGGCAATCCTCCTGCGCCACGGTGTGCGGACACCACTTGGCGACCGCGCGGCCGCGGTACACCAACTCCAGACCGCGCGTATCCGCCAGTTCCGCCTTCTCCACGACGTCACCCTCCACGGCGAGCGTTGGGGTGTACACCGCCTCCGACGGCAGCGGCCGCTCCCGCCGAAGGATGCGCAGGAGCAGCGGCGGGTGCTTGTGGCCGGGCTGCTCCGGAGTGATGGTTGTCTTGCATGCCGCGAGGGCCTCCTGCTCCGAGGCGTACAGAGCGAGTGCGTAGCCGCGGGTCTCGAGATGCATGACGAGCATCACGCCGGACGTGTTCGCCGCCAGCAGAGCACGCAGCCGCTCGTAGCGCGGGTCACGATTTGCACGCGCGCGGGTTGTCCCGCTCGGGCCGGCAGCGGAGAGCGGCTCCAACAAGAAGTCGGGAATATTCGTCACGAAAACAAACGTCCGCGTCTGCGACATGTCGCTTCTTCTGCCTCTTCGTCGTTTTTTTTTACTTTTTTCTCCCTTCTTTTCCCTTCGGTGTTGCCTGCTGCCGTGTGCCCCCACACACCCTGCGCTTTTTTGTGTGTTTTTTTTGTTTTTTAATATTCCCCCTCTCCCGTCTTCGCCTTCCTGTCGCTGCGGAAGCTCTCGCAGGAACCCTTCGGCCGTCGCCCACCAAAATCCGCAGAACACGCGCGCGGCCCTACGCAGGCAGCTGCGGGGCAAAAAAAAAAAAGCGGACAAGTGCAGGAGCCGCGCCGCAGCGCATTCCACAAGAAACAACCGCGAAAGGGGGAGAAGGGCAAAACGCATCAGCCAGAGACGCGGCGGCGGCGGAGTGGGGAAGGGGGAGAAAGGGGGGAGAGGCGCATGTATGTCGCCTCTTCCTTCGTGCGTGCAGCACGCACGCTGCTTGGGCGCCGGGGCGGGTGCGCGCCGCCGCAGCTCACGGCAGCAGCGGGGGGGCGTGGGCGAGGGAGACGAGGGAGACGTCGGGGTCCGGGCAGATGACGGGCCCGCGCGACATCCCGCGGTACACCACGAGCACGTGCTGCAGCACCACACCGTGGACGTGGCAGAAGTCCTCCAGCGCGGACGCGATGACCCCGACGACGCGGGCGGCGTCACTGTACTCCGCCGACACCGCCCGACTCGCCGTGATGGCCAGCGCCAGCGACTCGTCCACGGGGCACAGGCCGCGCTTCACGCACTCGTAGAAGTACTCCACCGCGTCACTCCAGCACTCGGACTGCACGTACACCAGCATGACGGTGTTCGCCAGCAAAGGGCTGCTTGTGCGCTGGTACTGCCGCACGACGCGCAGAGCGGCTGGCCACGCCCCGGAGAGGAGAGCCGCCCTCACGGCATAATCCACCACCCGCGGGGAGGGCGCGGCGGAGGTGAGCGCGCTCTGACGAAGAATTCGCAGGGCGAGCACCCACTGTTGACCTTGCACGCACGCCTTGAGGGCCAGGGCCGCCGTGACTGCATCCGGCCGCATGCGCCCCGTCAGGTGCGCAAAACAACTCAGCGACACTTCCCACGACGAGCTACACGCAGACAGCAGAATCGCGCTGGCGGAGTGTGGAAAGCAGCGGTTAGCAAGGGCGTGTTCACACACCACCATTGCCTGCTCCCACTGACCTCGCTTTTGCAGCAGCCGCAAGGTTTGCTCGACGGATTCGACAGAGGCACTATAGCTGGGAGTCGCTGTGCGGTGGAGCTTCTCCTGCAGCGCGATCTGCACCAAAGACATAGACAACGGCGACGGAAGCGGGCGAGGCGTCGTCTCGTCCCTCGCGCGCTCCCCGTGTGCATCGGGCACGTCGGTCGCTTCTCCGACAGCCGCGTACACGGCGGAGTCCACCGCGGCGCCCGTGCGCAACTGCAGCTGAAGGCTGTGGTGTAGTGGCAACGGCAACGTGCGGGGGGGAAACCACGCCAGCGCCTGCCGCCACCTGCCCGGGGTGCAGAACATGCTGTAGCGCACGGTGTGTGCCACGTGCGACAACTGCGACGGGACACTCGCGGGGAACAGGGCCTCCTCCCAGCGCGGCGGGGCCGCCCGCGATCCCTGCCGTGGCGGTGGCTCGGACGCCGGGTTGCCCTCCGCCGCGTAGCGAATGAACGCCGCAGTCGCCGCCGCCCAGTTCGCCGCCCGCGCCCACTTGAGCACCTCCGCTATGGTGCCGGCCAGGGCAGAATGCGACAGGAGCCCCTTGCAGAGCTGGGCCCCGTACGCCTCCATCCTGCGGTTCCGCCGCAGCAGCTCTGGCTGCTCGGTGTGCAGAAACTGGTGAAAGGCGATGCCGGTGGCCCACATCCCACGCTGCAGGCTGGCGCGTAGCACATCCTCCGCGACACGCTCCCCGCCAATCGCCCGAACCGCCACCCTCAACAGAGGCCGAAGCGCCTCGCGGTCAGCGCCGCGTGGGGAGTGCCATACGTCCGCCAAAATTGCTAGCCGCATCACGTGGGGCGCACAGGCCCACTGTACCCGCGACTCCGAACGCGCATACACCTCCAGCGCCCGGCACCAGCTTCTCTCGGCGAGGATTGTTAGCATACGCATATCTGTGGCGAGTGCCGGGCAGGCATGCAGTAGCCGCGGTGAAAGTGTGACGGTCTGCATCAGACTTTGCACTTGGGGTAACTCGCTGACGTCGCGCTCCTGCACAACGCGACGCAATAGGCGACGCTGCACGTTTGAGGCCCATGGCGTGCACGGAAGCAGCCGCAGTGACTGCTCCCACGTGAGTAGGCCTCCCACTGGGCTTTGTATGATCGCGCTTACGGTGAACGGTGACGCATACGGTGCAAGACGCAGAAGCGGCTCAAGCAGGTGCGTCCCACCAGGCTCCAGTACCTTTTTTGCCATTGCGTTGGCAAGGCCCTCCACGGCACTTGCGGAGTGGGAGTCCAGGCCATCCCGCTCAATTTCACTGGCGATAGCGCACAGCGCCGCCTGCCATGTCCTTCCGACCGCGTTTCCGTAAGGCGTCATCGCAAGAAGTGTCATGAGCTCCCGTGAGAGAAGTGAAAACATGACCGTGCTGCTTCTGCTCGCGCCGCTGTGCAGCCTCCTCTCCTTGTCGACGGTGGTGGGAGGCGCAGGGGGGTGTGGCTGCGGCTCCGTGCGTATTGCTCTCCTGCCGGCCTCTCCGCGAGGCTCCGGCTCCAGCCGGGCGGGGAGCAGTTCCCGTCGGCGCGCGAGAAACACCTCCGTGATGGCGCAAATGTGCGCCTCCGCCGACGTCATCGCCGTGCGGCGGGTGGCGGCGGCGAACGTCGCCGGCAACAGCCCCAACGCGCCCTCCTCCTCCGCCTCCTCCGACTCCTCCTCCCCGCTGCCTCCCGCCTCGCAGGCGGCGGCACGCCGCGTCTGCCCCTGCAGGCACCGGCGCAGCGTGCTGGTCACGGCGTAGAGGTCCTCCACCGCCAGCGTGTGCGCGAGGCCGCTCTTGACGACGACCTGAAAGCAGAGGAGGCACAGCGTCGCGCGGACCCGGTGCGGGTGCGCCGCCGCCCGGCGCCAGACAAGCGACGGCGACAAAATCCCCTCCACCGAGCCGCAGCCGAGCGGGAGGCCAAACGACTGCCGCAGCAGGGCGGCAAACTCCGCCGCGGAAAGGGCGCGGTGGGGTACCACACCCAAGTGCAGCAGCAGCCGCAGCAGCTTCGCCGGAAGCTCCGGGGCGTCGCTCGTTCCCTCCTCCGCCGCGGCGGCCGACAGCATCGATGGCCTCGCATTGACAAACGCCAGCGCAGTGATGATGTTATCCACGTTGAACGGGTGATGCAGCGCCGCAAACGGCGAAGGCGATGCCGCTTGCGGCCGCCGGCCCGCCGTCGCCTTCCAAATCTGCCTGCACGCAGCCCACTGGCCGTGCTGCGCAAGCACGTAATTCAGGGTTTGCAGTACAGGTCGCGGGGCGCCCAAGAGAAGCCGCAGCTCCTCTGTCCCAAGCGTCCCTGTCTCTTCCGTGCGTGCGTCGTCCTCGGGCGGAGGCGCATCGCAGGTTGCGTCGAGCCATTCATTCCAGCGCTGCGTGCGCAGCAGCAACTCCAGCGCCCGCTCCCACCGCTCGCGCTGGCTGCAGAGCAGGGCCTGTTGCACTTCCGCCGAGATGCGCAAGAGGCCACGCCAGCCGGCATCCGCGGCACCACGTGGCGCACTTCCCGTCGTCGCAGGATCGCCGCAGCTGCCACTCTCATCCCCCGCCCGAGCCCCGGCCCCGGGCAACGGACGATGGCTGTCACCGCCGTCCTCGGCCTCGTCGGAGAGCTCCGGCGTGGGAGACGGAACGCGGCCACGCGGCAGAAGAGGCGCGCCCGCAGACAGCACCGCCAACACCTGCTGCGCCACCGCATACCCCACGTCGCTCAGCTCCAGTTCCTCCGCAACTGTCTCCACGGCGCCGCCGCGTAGCCCACGCTCCACTATCAGGCAAAGGAGCCGCGCCATCAGAGCCACCGCCAGCTGCATGCAGTCCGGCGGCACGGGGCCGTCCGTCTGCAGGCCGTTCAAGGCGGTTCGCAAGTGCCACGCGCACCACCGCAGCAGCGCCACCGCCTCCAGCGACGTCAACGGCGCCGCCGCCGCGTCATTGTGGCGATTGTCTTCGTCGTCGTCGTCGTCGTCGTCGGCGGCGGCGGCGGCACCGTCATCGGGCGCGGAAGGAGCCGCGGCCCCCTCACCGCGGCGGGGGTGGCTACCAAACGCGAGAGCCACGATGGACGCTGTCCGGTCGCTGGAGGCGGCAAAGGCGGCCTCCGCGTAGCGCATCGCCAGCTCACTCCGCCGCAGCCCGGCTGCCGGCGCCAGCCCGCCGTAGCCGCTCTGCAGCGGGACAAGCGACTCACCGCACCCCCCGGTGGAGGCCATGAACTCCGCCATGCGCCGCAGCACACGGTGCAGGGAATTCGTGCGGCGGCCGTCGGGCGCACCACCCCCACGGGTGCCGTGCCGCGTCACCGTTGAACTCGCCGCAGGAAGCGGCGGTGCAGCGGCGCCGCCCCGCTCCCTCACCGCAAAGTAGTGGCACTCACGCAACAGCAACTCCTTTCGCGTGGAGCTCAGCCCCTTGTGGTGCCGCAAGCGACGCCGCATCTCCTGCAGGACGGCAGTGGAGCAGCACCCGCCCGTGTTCCCCTTCACGGCGGCGATGCCCCCGTTGCCGACGCCGACGCCGACGCCGCAGTACCGCGCGGAGACATTTCTCATGCGTGTGCTACAAATTGCCCTCTTCCCCCACGCGTCTTCCCGCCTCTCCCACACCGACCCAGCGCCCCGCCCCGAACGCGCAGCCCCGTTTCTCTCTCCTTCTCTACCTCTCTCCTCCTCCTCGGATCCTACGCCGCAGAATTCCCTCGCTCCGGCCTCTCCTGCGCCTCACGCATGGGAGGCGCCAGCAGAAGGCTGCGCGGAGGCGCCAAGAGGACCACGCGAAAGCATTAAAAAAAAAAAGTTTGAAAGGGAAATGCAGGTGAAGCCCACGGCCTGACACGACAGTGCGAGAGTGAGACGCAAAACACGATAAATAATTAAACTCGACTGCCGCGCCGCCCACGCACCAACGCACGTCGAGGGCCCGCTGCTTGGGGGCGCCGCCCCGCGGCAGTCAAAACACACAAAAACAAAAACCCACAAACACAAGTCACGCGCCGCCTTCCCCCACCCCCCATTTTTTTTTCAACCACTCGACAGCGGCGACACGCAACGCACATCCCCGCAGCGCAGTTCCCGTCGCAGGCCCCACCACACAAATCGCCCAACGCCGGCCCCACTTCCCTCAGCGCAGTGCAGCAGGAGTGCGGCGTGGCGCAAAAAAGAACTCAAAATATAAATCAAAATAAACCCCCGCAGTAGCGCCGCCGCCGCCGCCTCAAACGCAACCGCCCGCCCCCCAGCCGCGCCGCGGTGCCCGTGGAAGTGAGGCGCCACGGAGGGGAAGAGGGAGAAGCACGAAGCCGCCTCATCCACCACGCACGGTACCTTCTTCCTTTTTGTGCGGCCTCCCCACGTGCCGCTGCCACACCGTGTTGCCCCAACAGGACCTCTTCCCTTTCCTCCTCCTCCGCCCGGCCCAAACCAACAGAATTGCGGCACCTCCGCGCCGCGTGCGCGTTGCCGTGTTCCCCGCACGCAAATAATATCCCCCCCACGAACACTCACCGGCAACAGTTTTCCCCCAATCGTTTAAAGTATACACCCTCGTCCTTCACTCTCCGGGCTGCTGCTTCGCTGCGCCGGCGGTAGTGTGATGCGCACCCGCCGCCGCAAACCGCAGCCCAAACAAATTCCTCCCGACTGCTTAAAAATATATATATAATTTAAATAAAAAACGCCCAACAGCGTAAAGGCCCCAGACCGCCGCCCCCGCGCAACTCCCCGCACGCTGCGTCCATCCGCCCTCTCAGCCCGAAGGCTCCTGCGGCGCCCACATCTCTGTGCCTTTGCCCGGCA